TTTTTTTTTTTTTTTCTTTTTTTCCTCCCCCAGCCATGGCCTTATTCCTGGAGTTGCTGTTCCTGGCTCTTGTGTTGCTTCCATTCTTTCCTGCAAATGGACAGGTACGGTCAAGTTTAAAAATATTTTCAGAACGATTGAAGCAACTCTGAGGAATAGCAAGCTATTAGATCAGTTTGCAAAACTGAAAAGTACTACAGTGTCTGGTACATCACAGAGTACTCATCCGTTGCTCAAGTACTTAACACAGTTAATTTTAAGGCTGTGATGACGAGCTGTAGCCTCTAGCCACGTAAGGGTATTGAACACTAGAAATACAGATGATCGGGACTGAGATCTGCATAAACACATGGAGAATTCAATACTTAGTAAAAAAAAGAGTCAAAATATTTCATTAATAATTTTAAAATTGATTGCATGATGAAAGCATAATATTTTGAATCTATTAAATAAATATGTTATTTGATCTGTTTATTTTTTTCCTTTTCAAAGTGGCCACCCAGAAATTAAAATTACGTTTGATACAGGGCACCTGGGTGGGTCAGTCAGTTAAGTGGTTGACTGCGTTTCAGCTCAGGTCATGATCTCATAGTCATGAAATCAAGCCCTGCATCGGGCTCCATCATGGGCGTGAAGCCACTTAAGACTTTCTCTCTTTCTCTCTCCCTCTGGCCCTCTCCCTCTCTCTTTCTCTCTCTCTCTTAAAAAAATTTTTTGGGTGTGCCTGGGTGGCTCAACCAGTTAAGCATCCAACTCTTGGTTTCAGCTCAGGTCATGATCTCACCACAGTTCATAAGTTCAAGCCCTGCGTTGGTCTCTGAGCTGACAGAGCAGAGCCTGCTTGAGATTTTTTGTCTCCCTCTCTCTCTGCCCCTCCTCTGCTCGCTCTCTCTCTCAACATAAACAAACAAAAAAAATTTTTTGTATAAGTTTGATACTGTAATTATATTTCTATTGACAGCAATGATCCACAGGTTTAAAAGCTGTCCAAATATCTTTTTTGATTTCCTTTTATTTAATTCATTACAATGTGATTTTCACAGAAAATTAACAATATATTTATATATTACATAATCTCACATTAGCAAAACTTCTTCACATACTTCACCACATTTATTTTCATAGTTACTGTATGATAATAATTATACCTATTTTTAAATTTAAAAAAAGAAACTTTACTAGTGATATTAAGTATTTCGATTTTTTTTCATGGTCTTACAATTAGTACGTAAAGAATAAGATGCTCTATTCCTTTAAAAATTTTTTTCATCTTCCTTTTTTTTAATATAATATATTGTCAAATGTTTATTTATTTAAGAGAGAGAAAGACAGAGTATGAGCAGCCGAGAGGCAGAGAGAGGGAGACACAGAATCTGAAGAAGGTTCCAGGCTCTGAGCTGTCAGCACAGAGCCCAATGCAGGGCTCGAGCCTACAAACCGCGAGATCATGACCTGAGCCAAAGTCAGATGCTCAACTGACTGAGCCACCCAGGCACCCCTAAGCTTCTCTAATTATTTCTAATACACTGTTGCCCTTTAATAATCCTAAGAACAGGATGAATCATTCTCTTAAGTACTTAGTGTGTAGGTGCTTATACAATGTGTCTATCTTCTGATCAGAAAAAGTCTGGATGTGAAGTTTGGTCACTGCTGTCTGTGCATTCTTTGTTAACTCTGAGCATACGAGAACAGCTAGGGATCCTCAGATCAAAGAGTTCAGACACTAGGTCAAAACTCACACGGCATTCAGAAATACAGTCATTATATTACCACAATTAATTTTCAGTCTGAAGATAATTTGCTCATCACCTCGGTCTTCAGTCAAAAAGTTTGCTTTCTCCCCAGTCTCTTTCTTAAAGATTTTTTCATGGTCCTTACTGCTCCTCTGTTATCTCTCTGGTCCATCTCCTGGTCTTCATTTTTGAAATTATTTAAAGGAGAGATATTTTGCTTTTTTGTACCACTAACTGTTAGCTAATCAGATTCTCTACGTACTTTCTGCCCCTTCTCAAGAATGCTAGAAAACACTAATCATCCTTTATAACCCCAATCCAGACCATCTTTTACAAAGTTTTCCTAGCCTCAATCAAGAATTCACCCTTTGTTTTTTTTGTATATCTAGCAGAATCCACCTATCATTTTAGTTACAATGTAACTGAAATATATGTAATTATTTTATTATTTATGTCATATAGTCTATCAAAATAAACTTTTTAAGGATCAATAGATAGATACCATGTTAGATCTATTTTATGTTCAACACTCTTCATATTTCCTGTTACCTAATAAAAGCTCTCTTGAAACTCATTTAAAAACAATAACGACAAAGACACGTCTTCAGTAGGATTTATATCTATACAAAGCAATATAGGATATGAAGGAGGAAATAATGACTTCTTTCGCAGGGGACAAATTTTTATGTATTTTGAAATGAAATTCTCTTAAGCAGGTTTTTGAGGGTCAATAGGAAATATCCAAGGATGTTATTTTATGCTTTAGTGTAAAGCAGAGGTTGGTCACTGTTAATATTTCACATGCACATCCTTTCTAGCTTAGGAGTTAGTAGCTGCGAATGTGCCACATCTGTGGGTACAATGGCATTCATTACTGGTTCCTGCCTTAGGAACATACAAGCAAGCAGGGGAAATGGATGCATAAATAAATAGTGGCGATAAACATGGCTAAACCTAAACTTACATTATTTGGAGGGCTTTGAGGGAACTCATTATTGGGGTAGGAGAGAATAACTTACCCCAGTGTGTCAGGTAAAATCAACAAAGGGCCCTGTCTGTTTAGACTTTGACTTCAAACTCTTGCTCATATTCATACAACAAAACACTCATGTATTAATTTAAGTCATCAATTATCTTAACCTGTGGGAACAACTCACCTACCCTAGGCTAGACACAACCCCACACACACATACACACGTACAATGATAAAATATACCAAAAATTTCAGCAGCTGATATAATACTTTATTCTGTTACTAAAAAGGAACAGAATCAGCAATGGCCCATTAATTATATGACTTTGCTCCCTCTAAATGGACTTGGAAATTTTTTGATGTTGCAAAATTATCTTTTGAGTGGCCCCATGAAATCAGATCATAATAAAGTAGATCATAATACATATCATAACAGGAAGAATGATTTTATTAGAGTATTTTTAAGTACTTTAAAATTTTTTTAACTTTAAAATTTTAAACTTAAAAAAAATTTTAAGTTTATTTATTTTGAGAGAGAGAGAGAGACCAGGTGCAAGAGCTTAAGCAGGGGAGGGGTGGAAAGGGAGAGAGAAAGAGAATCTTAAGAAGGCTCTGCATTGTCATTGCTGAGCCCAAAGATGTAGGGCTTGAAACCACAAACCATGAGATCATGAGCTGAGCTGAAATCAACAGTTGGTGGCTTAACCAACCGAGCCACCCAGTCGCCCCTTCCTAGAATATTGAATAAACTTTGAATCTGAACATTCTGTCTCCAAATACATTCTAAATACATTATTTCTCTAAATACAGGACATGTCAGGTCAAAATTTCCTTAAAGTCTAGGATGAATCTTGAGCTCCACTCTCATCCCACCTGCTGCAGCCTGATCAAATGTGAATCAAGGTGTCTTAATGTTTCCATTGTGTACCTTTATGGTTATAAAATATTATCACTCACATGGATAGAAGCAGCACATGAAGAGTTCCCTTGAAACTAGAAATTGACATCTGTGGCCTCAGAGAATATTCTAATTTGTCATGCTCCTAACTCCATTACTATTCTCAAAGCTTTA